CCTCTTTGTCCTCACAACCAGTAAATTTGCATACAAGAAAAAGTGAGTCAGGCAATTTAGGATTTAGGAAGCAATCATAGAGTTCTGCTCAGAAGTGCAGTTAGATTTGAGTCTAGTAGGCACATTAGTGACCCAACAAGTTTCAGGGTATAAACTTTCCAAGAGTCAAAGCTCTCTTCATCATGCAAATGAAGGCAGCTTTCACTCTCAAAAGCTTATACCCTGAAACAGTTGTTGGTTTCTAAGGTGTTCTTAGATTCAAATACTAAGTGTTCTGCTGAAGAACATCATGGCTATCCTCTGAAACTACTCAGAAGTCTTATGTTATTTAATGGGACTTACTTGCAGGAAAATTGTTCTCTGTATTACCACCTTACCCTGTGATCTGTTCACCATCTTTAGATATACAACTGCTGTGTAAACTACTTGCTAATGAATTAGCTGTTCTTTGAAATCAGATACATTATTTGTTATCAAGAATAGTCACTATGAATGAAATATTAATGAATATGGTTTTTATATCCTTAAAGTTAGATTATGCTGTTTTTGAACCAATTAAAAGACAATTGATTCTTACCCTTACTACTTGCAGGCTTCTTGAGACACAGTTGGTGTCAAGCAAGTCAGCTGTTGTGGACTTATAAGTCCATTTTGTCAGTATGCTCGTGAGCCATTCTTCCTCCTCCCCACCACCACTTCCTCTTTTGTGGCAAGCCATAGTTTGCTTTTCACAGTCTGGGTGATCAAACTGTGAATGCGTTTCTAGCTTGGGGGACAAAGTACAAACACATAATCTTCTAGTGCAAGTAAATAAATCTCTCAAAGGGAGGGTGGCAAAGAAAACGTGGTTCATTTACCGAACTGGGTCCGTATCTCTTAGCTACTGGCTTGAACCCCTTCTCATTGCAGCTGCTCCTATTCCACTGACACAGACCATTGAAAGTATACCCAGAGTTACTTACTACTGTAATGCTTCCTAATTAAGATTATTCTAACCTTTGAGAACAAAAATTAACATGCAGGTTTTGTGATTTTTGTGTGTGTGTTTAGGGAAATAGGTGATCATTGGCATTTGGCAATTCAAGAGGCAATCTTGGAAAAATGCAGTGATAATGAGGGAATCGTTCATATAGCAGTGGACAAAAATTCACGTGAGGTAAAACTAATTTTTAATAGTGAATTCACATACTTAACTTTGTCATTAGACCTAAACCAAGACATTTTTGTTTCCTTTTAGGGTTGTGTCTATGTCAAATGTTTGTCTCCAGAATATGCTGGAAAGGCTTTTAAGGCATTACATGGATCTTGGTTTGATGGTAAGACGTTTGAATTTGTGAAATTCAGGAAGTTGCCTTTAGTAGCAAGAGCAGTTACCATGTAGTATAAATATTGCAGGACTCATCCTTTTAATAAATGTAAGCTTATGCAGGGTTGTTTTTTTAACAATCTTTTTAAAAGTGAAAAGTCTTACATATTATTGTACCTTACTACAGGGAAATTGGTAACAGTAAAATATCTACGGCTAGATCGATACCATCATCGTTTTCCCCAGGCTATTACTTGCAATGTTCCCTTGAAGCCATCAAACACACACATGAACTCGATGTCGCATCTTCGCCTCCGGACAGGGACAACTAACTCTCAGGGAAATTCCTGAGACATTGTTACTAGAAACTGCTAACTTGCCACAGGAACACTTCCTGTCTGGCACCGTCTTCCACTTTTAGTACTTTTTGTATGTAACATTTTCATTAATCCATGTTCCTGAAGTCTCATTTTTCAGAATGTCTGAGTAATGAGGCAATAATACTGAACTAAAAGAAACAATTGCTCTTTGTATTGGAGCTAAAGCAAACCAACTCATTGTTTTGCATGACAAGTGTTGAATTTATTAAACATTCTCAGATGTGGCTGTATTTTTGCACCAACAAGTGTTTGATAACAATCTAAAAGCATGGAGATGTACGGTATTTCCATAATTTCCTGTGAAATAATCTTGTGGGTATTTTGTAATAAAACCACCTACAGTTTCTGATGGCAAGTGAATAGAGGTGTTTCTTTCTGTCTGGTCTTCAGTTGTTGTTGCCATAAAAGATTTTATCTGTGTCAGCCTAGGGATGAAAACAAAATTGTTTTGGTGGTTACTGAGGAAAAATCAACTTAATTCAGATATACTGGTTTTGTATATAAATGTAAATGCTGGTGGTGGCAGCAAAAGTAATCTTGTTTTGTGAGGATGTCTCCATTAAAGCAGTGAATAAGCTTCCTGTTTTATTCATAACCTAATATTTTATATATTTTGGCTGTGCCATTGCATAAAGGTCAAACAGCCAAAACACCTTGAAGTATTAGATACAAGTTAAATATCTTTTATAGGTTTTATATTAAAATATCTGGTTATTATTTTATGTGAATGGTATGATATTGTAATTGTGATGATGGATTCAGAATTATGTGAGCAATAAAGAAGCAATTGGCAGGTACTCAAAGATTTTGTGAAAAGCTGTTATTTATTACAAAAGGGGAAGGCAGTGGCAATGTACCACTGAAGGAATAGACTTTCCTGTATGGTTTTGCTACCTAGACATGTAAAACTAAAAAGATGCACATATTTTGGAAACAAACGTTTGGCTGTAAGAGCTTAGAAATGCAGTACATTTACATGAAGACTTGTATATGTTTCTGTAGTAAACTTGTGCATTGTTTACACCTAAAACTACAAAATCTAGTTGAAAATATAAAATCATTGGATACAATGATTCCTGTTGATGCAACATAATTTGTCAATCCAGTTGGATATTGTATAGGTAAAGAGATGGGAAACCAACCAGTTTAAGATACATTTACTAAAGCCCAGATTTATTGTAGATACGGATCTGCAGCATGAACTTGCACAAATAATGCACGTTTTCTTATGGTTAAGTGAACATGATGCACACTATTCTGCAACAGAAAATCCTATTGTGCCTTACCTTTGTGCTTTTTGTGGGCAACATGTTTAATAATGGAGGGTTTCTTATCTGGGAAAAAACACCTTAGTTTGTTTTATGTCTTGGATGCTAACAGGTATGTGTAATATAATCAGCCATGCAAAATTCTACTCACCAAGAGCAAGTACATATTTTTGACAAGTGGGTAGATTTTTGTTAAGTCTGGTAGATTTTTCATTACTATATACATATACAAATGTGTATAATATACATGTATATGTACTATGTGTATATAATCAGAGTTTGCTGTATTTGTGCATCATAGTGATTTATTGACCTGATCTTAGTAACCATCTTGTGACCTGTTGCAAGCGTGAATGTAAAATTAGTTGTGGCAGTTTAAAAGGTTGCCTTTTGATGCTGATGCATCTTCCTTGCTTCTAAACTATTTGTAAACACTGTACATTTATTATAGTAATCTGTATTATTATGCAGCTTATTTTACCTAAAAATGTTGACCAATATTCCTTCCTGCAAGACAGATGGGAATGTGTATAATACCTTGGACATTTGAGAAAATCAGATGTTTGTAATTTGTCATTTGTCCTGTAAAAACACAAAAACAAAACAAGACTAATTAAAGATTTATTAGGGCTTTTTATACATGTGTCAGTTTTTAAATGCTTAAATCAGGGATTCATAGCAGGTCTTGTGTGCTTTTTGTGTGTGTGCATGGGGGGGGGGGAAGTATGGAAGAGAAGGTTGCTGTACTCAAAGCCACACTGCCTGTACCCTTCTTCCACAAAACAGAGGTGGCTTTCTTCCTAAAGAGTCAGTCTGTCTTCTGCTGCTCGCTGCTTAAATGCTCCTTAAAAAGTACCATTGCAGAATGAGGGACAGCCTTGCATTGACAGACTCAATGCAGCTGTCAAACCAGAGATAATGTTTGGGGACTCCATAGATACGTAATGCATTTGCAGAGAGCAGATGCCAAAGCATCACCGCAAAGAGCTCCAAACTCCCTCTGAAGAACACCAGCTTCATTTCATTTACACAAGTTATTTACACCCACCCTTTGTTTACCAGAGCTAAGAGAAGGATGACTGTATGCACCATAACCACCATTCCTTCTTTCAAACTATTAGTGTACAGCAATTGTTCTTCCTGTTACCTGTGTGAGGAATGTACCTACCGTTTCCAATTATTTCAATGGCCACTTCATGTCATTCCTCAGTTTAAAAAAAAAATGGAAGTCTTGAATTTTAAGAATTTAATGTTATAAATTACAATTGCAATTATGTAAGAGAAGTTTGAAAAGGAGTTGCTTTAGTCAAACCATTTAGAGATACTTCATTTCCAAAAGGTTTCAGAAGAGCAACAGTATCTCTCAGGACCTAGTTAATGCAATTAAAAAGTTGTGCTTTGAACACATTATGCTGTTATAATTCATTTCCATCTCTGAGGAAGTAGGCAGTATTTTCTATATGCTTTTGCCTTCATAGTAAATTAGTCCTGAAAGTGCCATAAACCCAACATTTTAATGATCGTCCATATAACTACTGCAACTGAACTTTGTTTTACCCTCTCTTACTAGCTTTTCACTTAGAGAGCCAAGTGTCACTGTAACGTATACCTTTTAAAGTGAATTTAAGGAATGCAAGAACAGAACTCCCACCCTTAAAGGGCTTGCCTCTTGGTGATTCTGATGAGGCAGGTGAGGCATTTGGAAGGACTGTCATCTGTATGACAGACCACTAAAAGGAAGGGCAGGATTGCCCATTGGAAACCATGGGAGACGCTCCAATGGGCAATCCTGTCCTTCCTTTTAGTACATCCCTATTGTACCTCCGGACAGACCATTAAAAACGGCCACAATAGCTTCCATAGTTGCTTTGGGAGTTTTCTAGAAGCATCTAGGTACCGGCAATGTTGTGGGTGGGTAAAGCTTTCTGAATTTGTCTTGGCAAAAGCAAGACAAATGCAGTCCTCTCTCTCTCTCTCCCCCCCCCCCATTCTGGAAATTGTTCCGGCCGTACTAAGCGGCCGGCTATCCGCCGGGCAGGCGTGGAGTTGGCTGGCTTCTCCGTCGCTCTCTCCATGCTCATATTTGGAGCTGCCTGGGCAGCCGGTGCCCAGGAATTTCCCGTCATGCCTCCCTGGGAGGCTGCTGGGCCTGTCACTTCGCTTGACCGCCGAGCGGAGGGGCCGGACGGGGCTTGTGCCTCCGGAGGCTTACGCAGCTGGACCTCTTTTCGCCTCTGCCTTCCTCTCCATGCGCCTCCAGGTCTTCCTGCTGCTGCTCACCTCGTGCTTTCCGGCGGCCGCTGCGCTGGTAGCAGGTGAGGGGAGCCCTTGCCCGTCGTGCCAGCACGGCACTTCGCCCGCCCGGCTCCCTTGGCTCCGTCCTGGGGGTCTTTCTCTTCGGCCCGCACGGCTCGGCGCCTCTTTCCTCTCCGACGGGGGGAGCTGAGAAATGATCACCAGGGGCGGTGGGCGGGCGAGGGAGGCACTCCCGGCCGCGGCAGCTCCCCTTCCCTGCTTCCTTCCG